TTGGCGTGTGGAGCCGACCAATGACCAAATTTATTTTATAGCTGTTGTCATATGGAACCAGCCTGTCAACGGGCCAATAAGTGATGGTGGATCCCATGATTCGCTTTCCCTAAACGATTTACAGCCTCAAAACTTGCAAAATGACGACTGTAATCTGGTAGAGAACGCTGCTGGACCTTCAGTCAGAATAGATGCTACAAATTAAATGGTGAGCAGTTTCCAATTTATTCTAAGCTACTATCTATTATAATTACTGTATCTATTAATTACATAGCTATTAAACTAAACAATTTTACTTCATTCACATTAAAAAGCCGTGGAGGCAAACATAAACATTAAGTTATTCTCAAAAAAAAAAACCACAAGCCGTGGAGGCGACAATTTATACTCTTATGTTATCCTGCTGGGACCACGGCGTCCATGACCGCTCAGCACCCAGTTCCCTATTTTCCCGTCAAATAAAGAGACTTCGTGCCTGTCACGGAGCAATGGTCCTAAACTCCTTACCTTACTCTCCATCAGATCAAAGACTTTGTGTCTATCACAAAGCGGTGTTCCTGATCCTACTTCCTCTATTCCTTCAAATCAAAGACTTTGTGTCTATCACAGAGCATTACCGTCACGTGAGAAAAATATAAACATAAGTAATCCTTTAAAAATAAAAATAAATTATAGCCGTGGAGGCGACAATTTATACTCTCATGTTATCCTGCTGGGACCACGGCGTCCATGACCGCTCAGCACCCAGTTCCCTATTTTCCCGTCAAATAAAGAGACTTCGTGCCTGTCACGGAGCAATGGTCCTAAACTCCTTACCTTACTTTCCATCAGATCAAAGACTTTGTGTCTATCACAGAGCATTACCGTCACGTGAGAATGAAACAATACTATACTCGTACCTAATTGAGATTACAACCACAATCTGTAACTTTACATATTTATAAACGCAGTAAGAATAATTTATGGTTTTAATTATTAAAATTAAGTGTGCTTTTTTAAAGCTTCACTTTCTATATGATCATCTCGTAATTATTGGGTATGGCTCCCAATCAAAGCCATTATTTACAAAATGAATACTGTGTTAACAGGTCAATAGAGATAGAAGATTATTCACAGCAGGTGCAGAGCGCGCACCGCCGATCAGAATGGCCGTGTCGGAGCAAGTACATCATCGGTTGACAACGCATAAGCTTTGCATTGTCTTTTAATTGATTATAATAATCAACGGTGTATAATTATTAATACTACAATTTAATAAGAGCAATTTATCAGAAACATAACATGTAACTAGCTAGTTCCTTAAAACTCTTTTGATTTACAAATCTCTTTATTGACCACTAATTCCTGGTAAAACAACTATTTATTCCATTATCAACTTTTAACTCAAATATGGTTTTAAATCGTAGAATAAATAATTGTCGATTTGATTAATAATCCTGATAATTGAAATTGCTTAAGTAACCTAATGAATTCAATAAAAAGTTATTGTTTAGTCAAGTATTGACCAATCAAATCGTCGACCAATCAGAGCACACCTAAGTCGTTATTACGTTTTCCTTATTGAATGAACGCGGCAACAGAATCACTTCAGTTCCTGCGCTCGTCAGTGTAGTTCTATTTTCCTGGTAAAACTTTGCAAGTATTATTTGTGAGTCTCATAATAGGAAGTGTAGAATAAAGTTGTAGTGCAAAATTAAAAGTGTGTGGTCTTAGATCTCTTTCATTACAATGGAAACAATATGCGGTAGCTCGACTGAACCCTTGTCAAATGGGGACAGTGGTGCTTCTCAAACTGTAATTACTCTATGCTGAATGTATAGAGCGTTACGCTGTACTATTATTGATAACAATAAATTGCGCAAGCAAGAGAGCAAGTTGAACATCAGCTCACATTTTTACCATTTTTTTAATAATTAACGCTATCCTGTTATTTCCCACACAATTTTGGCTTATCGTGTTACACCATATTTCCGACATATATATATATATATATATATATATATATATATATGTATATATTGATTCTACGTCCTTTCATTTCGCATTATTGTAGCGTCCACCACTTGTAGGCAATTTTTATACATTATGACTGCGAATATTGGTCCATTAAACAATTTCAAAGATAGTGTTTAACTAATTTCTTTGAAAATTTACCATATATCGATATACAAATATTCGTATATTGCCAGACGGAGGGAAACCAATCAGGACTCCCTTCCATATTACAAATTATCCAGAATCCCCGTAATATACGCTGCTTAACGCAATTCCTTTGTATGGTGCGACGTTGCCACTCTTATTAGTTATTCCGCTTTGTAATATTTTATTTATAGTAGGTGATATTTTGTTTATGTAGGTATTCGATAGATTCCTATAGTCTGTTTTTTTTCGCAGGAGACAAAAATAACAGATCTTTATTAGATTCTTTTAGCACGAATAATACAGTTTTTATGATTCTGGTTCAGATTAAATTTAATTTCAGTCGCTTAAGGTTCGTAAATTGTTCAAAATAATTAAATAAATCCACAGAATGTGCAGTTACGGAAAATACGCAATATCATTTTTGTCTCCGGCGAAAAAAAATCAGATAGATATCACGATTAATTTACCAACTAGTTATTCGTTTACTAAATAGGAAAAAATATCTAGGATTGCCCAGCCGTGATATATTATAGATTGACTATATTATTATTTATTTTACAATTGTAAATAAGTACTAATTGTAGATATTGAGAGGTTTAATAGAAGTTTATTTTCTTATATTGTCACTAATAACCTAATATGACCTTGGGAAGAAGCTCATTTTAATGTAAAGTTTTACTGCATTAACTTCTAATGGGTTGTTAATTTCTACAATAGACCGTGGCGTATTGTTGCTGACATGAATAACTCCGAAAATATAATTTATTTACTTGATCGTATTGAGTTTTGATGCTCTCACTGCGAGTTTACTTTTTATGATCACTATCTTAAGGATGAGTGCGAACTATTTACCTAACCTGTACAAAATTACTCTCTACTTAACTAGATTCATTTTTGTAAAAGGCAATTTTTGTTAAATTTTGATATTATGTTTGGTTTTGCAGTTAGTTGAAATACAATTTGTTTGCGTTTGTTGTTATAAATATTGGACGCTATATTACTAAAAACATGCATATCGTGCTCTAATTGACGTCCGTATTGTGACCTACGCACATTGAGAACTTTCCACGCTTATGCTTGCTTGCATTTAAGTTTCTTTGGTTATATTTAGTAACTTAGGTAAATAAACTTGTGTAAGTTGATTAATGTACTTGACATGGACATTGAACGGAGTATTTACCCATATACGGACGTAAGAATATCCTAAAATATTCACACTAAGTTTTATTTGACGTCCACTTCTTCGATATCCGATGTCCAAAGTTATTGTTGATAATTGCATTTTACTATTTATTTATGTTGACTATTTATTTAGTGCTCAAGGCATATTTTGGAATTTTTGTCGGTTTATACTGTACTCAGTGCTAGTAGATAATTTTACTTTCCAATTTGTTTTCGTGTCCTTAGATTTAGCTATATATAATAATTAATATGGACGTCCGAATATCCTAAAACAAACATACTGAATAATATTTGACGTCCATATTTTTGAATTTTGTTATATTTCTATATGTGGACGTCAGATTATCGGCAAAGTTTCATACCGCACGATATTTAACGTCCTATAACCATGAATATATTTATATTTTAATTTCTTGTGTATAAGGACCTCACGATCAGCAGTCGTACTACTACAACCACTAGACCAACGAGGCAGTCATAACCATATATCACCAAATACAATTAACACATTGGCAACGGTGACGGAACGGCAACATCGCATCTCCTAATTTTGTGCGGAAGTCAAATACGGCCATAAATGAAAGTATTTACAAATCGACAGCAGCGCTATTATTTTTGCATAGAAAATTAGCGGAACTACGTAAATATTCAGTACAGCAAGATTGGTATTATTAGGATTTTTGTAACATTTCTGTGATCAGCATGACAATTTGCGAACATTGTGCTAGGTCTCCTATTTGACGTCCGTATATTGGATGTCGTAAGCAGGTTGACACCACATTATATGCAAAATTGGCCATAGTGGACGTACAATAAGTTACGGGATGTATATATAGTATATATAGTATATATATATATATATATATATATATATATATATATATATATATATATATATATATATATATATATAAAATAATTTACTTTTCTAATTGGGAGATGACTAGCATTGACCATAATGTCCCACTGCTATGTAAAGGTGAAAGGTTATGGAGATCAGAAACAGTTTAGCCACTATCTGGAAAAAATTCCAGTCACAAATTGCTATTTATTAAAAACTACAACACAAAATAAGAAAGGTAAAATAACGAAAATTAAAAATATAAAAAATTCAGTTTTTCTAAGAAGCTGTACGTGCATTAGACTACAACTTTATTGGTAGACTCTTTGGATAGTTGACATTCCATTAATAAATATGTTGAATTTGAACTTGACTTAAAATTTTGACTATCCACTTTTAATAGTTTCATAAAACTGATGACTTTTTGAACATTGATATATTTTTCTGTCAATATGTCGTCAGCAGCAACTTGGAGTCATGAAGATATTGGTGTTTCAACCCATGCCTTGATTAGCACGTAAAGCCATTGTTCCTCTGCCTGAGCTCTCTCCAGTCGAGTTGAATTGCCGTCCCATCAAACTATGAGTGTGAGGGATTAGAGAGAGTGCACATATTTATGCACTATTATCCTACTTTGCACAAATGGCTAGTCTCAATTGAGACTGATTGCCATGATCGAAATTCATTCTGGAGGACATTATCAGTCCACCATTATATTACACACACACACACACACACATCATATATTAAGAAGAAAATAAGTCTATTATAAATCTGTGAAGAAGTTCACAAATTTATAATAGACTTATTTTGTAAAACTTATTTCTAAACTCACCAAATTATTTTTTAATCTCCACATTTCAGATCGTCCCAGGTATTGATCTCTAAAGGTTAGTTCCACTGAATCCAATGCAACATCAGCTATATTGACAATATTCACATATACATCAGCAAAAGTTCTCAGTTGAAATGTGGTTGCTATGCTCTGCTCTACACTTATAGTATCTGAAACATATGTAGATTGCAGAATAATATATTCATCCAAATGTTTAGAATATCTGCATTGTGAAATGATATAATATATTTAACAAATAAAATTATCAAGCACATGTAACATCACCTAAAGCTTAATATTAAAGTATTTATTATAATTTTGATTGAAAGTAATCTGTAAACATGATTTAGATTTTTTTGAAAGATCACTTGTTATGCTACTTTAAAGCTAAATATTTGAAAACTAAGCCAAATTGAAGAACTTTGGAGCTACATCACACTACATTACAGCTGGATGTCATTCTGTTGTTTATGAAAAAAACAACTTATCCAATCTATATAAAAGGGCCACAATTTTATCGCAATGATATTTCCTAAATATAAAAACTTCATATTATTATTATCAATACAATTTTTGACTAATTTTAATTTTAAAATGACTTGCAACAAATCATTTTGATCTTTTAACTGTGATTAAATTGGTGTAAATAAACAAGTTAAACATTTCAGTACTAAAATATTTTGTTTGGCTTTATTTAAGAAAAATGTGATTTGCGGTAAAAGCACCGGTGGTTTTTGATGACTAGTGTAGTGTTGTAGTGTTTTTATGGGGTAATTAATTTTTTATTCTCTGAAAAAGATTATACGAACAAAATGTACCAAATACCTAAAAGCAACCTTACTGATCGAATATTGTATTTCATATTATAATATAGGTACTATGTATTATTTTTATTTGTCTATATTATGCAGTCTATTGTTGGATAGGTTATTGTGAAATTGAGAGAGCCTTACCACAGTGTTACTTTTATTCAAATTCAATAAACATATATAAAAGAAGAAACAACTGTTACCCTTTACTGCTCGTCCTGGAGCTTCCACTTTTGTCACTTGTAGGAGTAATCTAGGATAATCATTTTCAGGATGATAAATTTCAACTATATCTTTTTCTTTTAATCCGGGATAATCTTTCAGGTTTATTATTAAATCTACAGCTGCAAACGTTACATTAACATTAGAATATTTTTATTAAGTTTAGGACTACTTCAACAGATGAAGTGAAAACCTGATAAGACATGCAAGAAGTCAATGGATTTAAATATTGCAACATTCCTTGAGACAGTCTTTTGTTTAGCAGTGGACTTACAAACGGGATATAATGATGTTACTTATTACATGTTACATTGTGTTGTGTAAAGACGCCGTAAGAGATACCACTACCTTAATCATCCCGTGGGTGTCGTAAGAGGCGGCACATGAAAAGAGATGGGCAACAACAACCTGCTTATGACAAATAGGCAATTAAAAGAAATTAAAAAAACTCAGCTGGAAAATTTAACAAAATCCTGCGGCAATGTATAGGGACGCCGATGTTTAGCAATGGACTTGATAGGCTGTAATAAAATGTTAAAAAGAATGAGCTTTGAACACGTTACAACAAAACTTACGGCTAAAGCTGCACTGGTGAACAATAAGTTTAAAGGATTTCATGTTTATTGTTTGACTATTTGTAATTACATCTAGATAATTGTTTAAATAGCAAACATCAACGAAACAGTTCACGTTCCCACTATTATCACGACAAATACATTATCCATTCCAGTTCATAACTCTAAGAATTAACATATTTTAGTTGTTACATCTTAGATTACATAAACACGATTATAATATAGGACTTTTACAAAATATTAGATTATTATATCTGAACTATAAACATCTGATTCTGTGATCTGTTTTGATCATAGATAAATAAATATGTAGCAAGGTTTTGATTTGATCAGATTTGATGATTTGATTGTTTTCGTTTTGATAAGGTTTTGATTTGATCTTGTTTGATTTTTTTATTAAACTGGCTTTACGGCTCTGGGTTCTGGCTCTTCTGAGCATTTCTTTCGGAATCTTCAGTTTTATATTTTGTCTTCACAATATGCTAATGCGACACATTGCGAAGCCCTTGGGATGATTTGACGACAGCTCAACCACAGAATAAATAATAGTACTACGTACAGAAGTTTCACTCTTTTGACTGCTTGCAGACATTTGATAGCCTACATAATTATTATTAATAAGATAAATTGCGCACGCAAGCCAAATAAATCTTTATCACTGCGCGCGAGTTTCCGTATTACCTTGCATCTCACGGCTGTTTTTCCGTGGTTACTTAGGGCTGTCAAGAATATATTAAAAACACATGTAAGTTGGTACTTATTAAGCTTATAATATTGATTAATATATGCTCATTTATCTACTATTTATGCACACTTCTATTTACGGATCTCCTTCACCAAGACATAGAATAAATAATATGTAGTGCTACTCGTACGTTACCAAGGTTTGCCTGGAAGAGATCACTGTTAAGCGATGAGGCCACCTAATTGTACATAAATTTATATGTTGTGTGCAATAAAGAGTATAAATAAATAAATAAAATGTTGCGAAATGGTAAGTAAAATAGATAAGGAAATATTCTAACTGATCGAATGGACATATTTTTGCTACTACGTAAATTCTGTGCATAACGCATGCAACGTGCAAGGTCACTCGTCGCGATTTAATTAATCGCTCGGAAGAAATAGGTAGGTAGTGTAAACAACAAATGAACCTGAAATATGATTCCTAAATGAAATGTGATTGTATTCTAATTAGTTAAAAATCTTGTAAACAAAGTTTTAATTTCAGTGCTTTGTGATAACTTAAAATATTTTAATTACAAAAGACATGTAAGTAACCTACTTCAATTTACCTATGTAAATTTCGTAAGTTACCTACATAAATTGCAAATAAGTGTTGTAATAAAGTACTAAGGTTTTACTTCTATATTTAAATTATTACGTTATTCTTTTTTTGCTATAAGTATTTATTTAAAAAAATCAAATAAATGTACCTATCATTATTTAGGTTTTTGCTGGGTATGGTTGGTAGGTATACATATATATTATTTTTAAATCACATTAAAAAATTTTGAACAGTTTTATCCTACAATTAAATACTAAATACTAAACAAAAATTACAAGTGTTTACAAGAAACTATTTACGTAAACAGCGTTGGAAATACATCAATCATCTAGAACGCGTTAGCCCCGACTGCATATTACACCCTGGGTGAATCTCGATTTTAGGTAATTATTTCACGCAGGTAGCAAGAGTGACAGAGGCCTGGCTCAACCCAGCGGACAGTTGATGACGACAGCCACTCAAGCTCATAAGGTATAAAATAACTTGAGGTTTATATCGACATCAAAGCACTTGTTTCGTCGTTTTCTTTAATAGTTCTCACGCGCGAACACTTAATTTACAAAATCGCATCACTTTTACGAATCAAAATCCACTTCAAACCATTGTTAAAGCGACAAAACAGGAGTGATAATCCATCTACGGCCAAGTTCCCGCCAAAACTCGATCTTGTTCGAGTACTGTAAATATATTTAAAAGATTTATTTACAGTACTCGAATATATATTGCCATAGATGTAGTTTAGTTTATACTATATCTATGGCTGGCTTTACGCTCAGAGCACACTATGTATATAGTATTATAATACACTAGCATAGATAGAGTCCTAAAATAGCGTAGACAGAGAAACCTATAGACTAATGATTAGCGTGGCCTCGAGTGAGAAAGAACGATAACGTAGTTTTAGGTTATACAATAATCTTTATGACTTTTAAACATATTTAGATAAAATTTTTAATTGTTCTAAGAACTGAATTAAACGATATTCACCAATACTGAAGCTCACAAAACACTTTTTTCTCACTTAAAACAACTTGTAAACTCCTTAGATCGCTACGAACTGTCAAAGTTGTTTAGCAAAGTGTAGTTTGCTAAACAAAAAAAACCGGCACGGATAAAGGGACAAACAATCACACCGCTCTGTCTCATTTGTATGTAAGACGTATGCATAAATCTATCTTTTTCGTATGCGAATGCGAAAGAAGGCGTCAATTTGTCTATAGGTTTCTCTGTCTACGTAAAATAGTAACAAAATTCATAAAGCTGAGCTCTTACACATATGACGTTTGACATAGTACAAAATAGGATAGTTACCTATATTATTCTCACCTTCTTTCTTTTACAAGGTGGTTGAGGTTTTTCCATTCCATAGACACCTTTATTGATGTACCATTAGCGAAATAAAAAAACGTTGTCGATAAATTCATTTAGTCTATGACTTAGTAAAATTAAGGATTTTTATTAATCCGGTTCGTAATACTTATTTACATCAACGAAAGTTTATGGAAGCTTCATCTCACATCTTACAACGAAACTTAGTTGAATAATGTAGAAATAATGTAGAATTTCGTATAATTTAAAAAATATCGTGAAAAGTTCATTATGAAATTTACGTCAATTCAGCCGATATAATTCTGCCAAATTATCCATAGACTTAGTATGGGTTTCACAAGGAATAATAACTGTGTTTGTTTAATCGACACTTAGTTTGTGTCACGGGACGTACACAGAGGGCACTGCTACGAAAGTTTTATTTATTGAATAAGGGTGCCAACCGAGCACACAGTCCACCTTATGGTAAGTGAATACTGTGGCTTATAGACATCTACATTTATCCTAGATTAAAACTAAAATGAAGATGCGTTGTCAAGGACTAAGATGGAATGCATCATTTCCAGTCAAAAGGGTCACCGGTTCTCTACACTCAACACAACGGCCTTAAGCTGCTTAAGCTGCTATTTTACGCTGGTATTCTGTGAGAGCCTGGTCCTACTATAATAATAATATAATAATAATAATAATAATCATTTATTCAAATAAAAGTACAATAATAGAGTGAAGACTCTGATTCCCAAACTAGACGAGTCTGTATCTTAGGAATCAGTGGCCTCTCCCAGTGTTGTGACAACAGTATTTTAGTCTTAACAATTAATTAAGTAACTAAGCTTTACATTTTTAAGTAATTGTTTAGCTAATTGAATGTATTTATTTACAACGAAACATATACTTTAACTTAATGCGACTCTTTAGTCGTTATTATATTTCATATAATCGTAGGTATATTAAAATTAGTTTGCAATTTGCAATATATATACATATACATACACACACGTATATACATATACATACACACACACACACACATATATATATATATATATATATATATATATACATAGAATATATAGAATATATTATTATATAATTTCATACAGAATATATATTTTATTAATTATAATCTATAATGAATAAATAGGTGCTTTAAACAAAGATTGCTATTTTTAATTTCATAATTTTAAAATTTTATAATTTTATTATACTTTTATTATACGACATACATTACTACATGTTAACAAATTATATTTTCTGTTTTACTATAATCAAGTGACAATAACCAATCTCGAACTTTAACTTTACATTCATGTCTGAAAAGAGGATAAAAATTTAGATTTCTATTTAATTTATTATAAAGCACTGAGGATCGATATGAACTTTGTCGCCTAGAAAAAGCAGTTTGACATCTGCCAATAATCATTACATCCGGTATTCTGCGTTTATTACGACAGATCTCAGGGTTATAAGGAGTTAGAGCATGTTTCATTAAGATCAGTTGTTGGATATACAATTGCCTAACAGTCAGCAGTTTGCATTCTTGGTAAAGCAGATTTGTAGGATACCTGAACGGTTTAAAAGTCATAGTTTTTAGGAGACATCTTTGAGCTCTTTCTAATTTTATCATAAATGTTTTGCATGCTCCACCCCAGGCAACTATACAATAACCTATAATTGATTGTGCTAAGGCGTAGTATACAGTTCTCAATAAATCAAAGTCAGCGATGTGCCTTAGCCTTTTAAATGTCCAAATAAGAGTCCTAGTGCGCGATGAAATAAGGTCTATGTGTGGGAGCCTGCTTAGTTTCTCGTCTATAATTACTCCGAGATATTTAATTGATTTGGATTTCGTCACTTTAGGGCAAAGGCAAGTATCTTTTGACTGTAAACCACAAGAGTGTACTGTTAGTTGTATATCGTTAACAGTTTGGGTGTTGGTTATATGGAACTGCATATAGGTGGACTTTGATATATTAAGAGTCAGTAGATTCTCCTCAAGCCAATTTGCCACAGATTGAAGACCCCTCATCGCAAACTCCTGGACCTCAGGCCAAGTCTCTCCGTAGAAAATTAAGGCTGTATCATCAACATAAGTAAATAGCTTGCCTTGAGTTAGTGTCATTGAGCACAGGTCGTTGATGTAAATTAAGAAGAGACTTGGTCCCAGGATACTGCCCTGAGGGACTCCAAATGTGACACAGGCGTCTGAGCTAATAATTAAATTGAAACGGTGTCGAAAGCTTTGGCTAAATCTAAGAAAATCCCTACACACTTCTGTTTATGGTCCAGTTTATTTGTTACAAATTCGGTCAAGTTACGAACAGCATCTTCTGTACTAACACCCGCTCTGAATCCGAACTGCATATTAGATAAGATATTATATTTGTTTAGAAATTTAACCAAACGATTATTAAGCATCCTTTCTA